GAAAGTGCTCAATAGGTCATACCATGCTCTAGGTGCTTGCTTGAGTTTATAGAGAGCCTTCTTAAGCTTGTATACTGCATCAGGCTTCTGAGAATCTTTAAAAGCAAGTATTTGTTTAATATACACTTCTTCAAGGATGTATTCATGAGAAATGCACTTTTAATCTATTTAGTAAAGCTTGATGTCTTTCACAGCAGCATAGGCTAGAAGCAGACGAATTGCATCCAATCTTATAACTAGAACAAAAGTTTCTTCATAGTTTATTCCTTCTTCTTGATTGTATCCTTTAGTTACCAGGAGAGCTTTATTTCTGACCATGACTCCTCCTTTATTAGGTTTATTCTTAAAGACTCACTTTGTACTAATGACAGGATGGTTGATTGCTCTTATGACTAAATCTCAAACCTGATTTCTCTCAAACTAATTAAGCTCTCCAATGTTTGGGATTTAGTCACAAGAGCAATCAACCATCAATCCACTATGTGTTAGATAGAGCTTCTTCAATAGTTTTTGGCTCAATTTTAGAGATAAAGGCTAAATGACCAGTAATGTTCTAAAATTTGCTTCTTGTGCATACTAGATCACTAACATCACCAATAACTTGTTTAAGTAGATTATTCTTATTACTTTTCCAAGCTGTTAATTGAGAGATTTTTTCTTCAACTGGTGAACTTTCCTTCTTCTTTACTGCATTCTGAAATTTTAAGAATTTTAAATTTGAAAGTTGTCCATCATCTTGGTTACCTCATCAATATTAGAAGCTTCCTTCTTTATAGGATTCTCATTAAAGACCATATGAATTGATTCTTCTATGGTCTTAGTTTTGAGATTAAAAACTCGATAGGCCTTGCTTCTGTTTGAGTAGCTCAAAAAAATTCCTATATCAGACTTGGAATCTTTCCCAAAATTCTCCTTGTTATTATTGTGGATGTAGACCTTGCTTCCAAACACAAGGAGAAGAGCAATATTTGGCTTTCTTTCTATATATATCTCATATGGAGTCTTGTTAAGTTTTGGTCTAACATGTGCTCTATTCATTATATAGCATGCAATACTCATAGCATCTGCCCAAAACACTTAAGAGACTCTATTGTCGCGTGTTCAACATTGTTCTAGCCATTTTTATGAGCAGTCTATTCTTTCTTTCTACTACTCTATTTTGTTGTGGTGTCCTAGGTGCAGAAATGTTATAAGAGATTCCATTTTCATTGTAGAATTCCATAAATTCTCTATTCTCGAACTCTCCTCCATGATCGAACCTAATAGACACAATAGAAATACCTTTCTCATTTTAGACCTTCTTAACAGAATTACTAAATGCATAAAATGTTTCATCCTTAGAGTTAAGGAAAAAGGTCCAGGTAAATCTAGAAAAATCATCGCCTATTACAAGAGTATATAAATTACCACTAAACTTTTTACTATTGAAGGACCCATCAAATCCATGTACAAAAGTTGTAAATGTTTTTTAAAGGATATAAAATCCTTAGATTTAAAAGATGTCTTAGTTTGCTTTCTAATTGACAAGCTTGGCACACTTTTTCTTGATCAAAACTTAGGGGTAAAAGACTAATGACCAAATCATTTTTCGTCAGCTTTTCTAACTAGTTTTTATTTACATGAACTAAGCAACGATGTTAAAGAAAACTTTCCTCCCACTTACTTAAAGGACATTTATGGGAAAAAAGTTCAGATTCTAAATTAAAAGTATAATAGTTACCATCTTTTTTGCCATGAAGAATAATCTTTCCATATGATTTTCTTTGAACAATGCAGAATTCAGAATCAAATATGACTTTACTTCCTTTGTCATAACTCTGACTAATGCTGATAAGGTATTAGAAAAGTCATTCGACGTATAAAACATCTTCTATACAAACTTCCTTTCCTTTCCCAATCTTTTCAATCCTAGCAATATGTCATTTTTATTTCCTCTAAAGGTAACATGACCTTCTTCCTTTTCAATTAACTCTACGAATTGATTAGTTATTGAAAATTTTGCCCTAAGGCCAATCATTGTACTATGCATATTGTTTTTAATACATTTCTCTTTTATTATCATATCAATTACATGTTCACTATGATAACTGTATCCTTCGAAAAACTATAGTGATTGTCCTAAATGTCTTTTGTCGGTTATTTATGAGACATCATAGATAAAATAAGACTAGTATGACTTTAATTAATTATAGAGATATAAATCAAAATCATAGGCACTTGAAAGAGTACAAGGTGTTGGACTAACCCGCTATGAGAAAGGTGCATGGTACAAGTCATAAGCTTATCTCATATGTAACCATATCACTAAGCTCTTTGACCTGAGATCATCATAGATTCCTACATGATAACCGCTAAACTTTGACCTAGTTAAAATTCACTTGTGACTGGGTGATCATAAAGGCTATGATTGAGTTTAGTTATATTCATGCAGAGAAATATGAGTAGTCAAGAAGGAATTTGTCCCTCACATTAAGTGAGAGATATTATTAGGCCCCTTGATGAGTGAGACTAAAAAAATATATGGTCATACTATAATAGATAGGGTTTTTCTATTGCTACAATCAATCTACTCAAAGATCAAGAAAGTAATGGTTAGGTAAAGGAGAATGACAATTTCATGTCTCATACTTGACCAAAATATCACGTGAGAAAAGGGATGTGATATGATTGCATGATAAGTTATATCGAATCATCGATCCCCATATGAATTGTGTGGTTGCAATGTCTTGTTGGAGGCCACTTATAACTTATGGGCTAATAGTATAATTAGTCTACTACTAACTTCATATCGGTCTACAGGGTTACACACAAGAACAGCCCAACTTGAACTATAATGTTGAATTTGAAATATGTCTAGATTCAATGAATGTAATATAGGGTGAATGAACTATATATGTGTATATATATATATATATGAATATTTATTTGATAAATATATATATATAATTCAAAATAAATTTTTATGTATATATATATATATATTCATATGTGTATGTGTATATACATATCTGATATATGTATATGTATATGTATATGTATATGTATATGTATATGATATATAAAATTAAATATACTATATATATTTTGAAATATATATGTGTATATATTCATATATATATATATAATATAATATGTATATGTGATATATTATATTATATTATATTAGTTTTAAATTTAATTTTATATGATAGATTAAATTTTAATAACTAACATGATATGAAAGACTATCATATCAATTTTATAGTTTGAATTTATAAGAAAAATTCAAATTAGATATGATATTATAGATTTTATTTATGAGATAAATTTAATCTAAATTTTGATTGCCTCTTCAAGAGAAAGGCAAAAATCTTAATTTATATGTAATAGATACAAGGGGACGTGAAAAGAAAGAGTTAGAAAAGTTTTGATGGCCAAACACTTTAAGAGCCATGAAACACCATAAAGAAAGGAAAACTAACGTTCAAAGAAGAATGAATGTTAGGAACGTTAGCACGCTATTCGAGTTAGAGAGTTATTCATGTGGATACTGGTAAAGGGATCAAATCTACATTGATAACTCCTGAGATCCAAACTCTTGAAGAAAAGTCCACGTGTCAAGTTTAAAGAATTAAAAGGTAACTCTTCTATCCACTTTGACTTAAACGAGTTCATTCAGTCTATATCAGGATAGTAATTTTAAAATTTTAATCTTTTATTACACCTTCCTATCCAATATCTGCATCGCCACTTATGTGTTTTGAGCACCCACTGTTTGTGTACCACTTCTCCTTATTCTTCTTTAAGATAGTGAGGCAAACTTGCAAGGCAAGGTTACTTCACTTTAAGTACCTACTTCTTTATAGCTCCTTTCTTGTTAGTTAGTTTCTTGAGTACATAAGTACCTTTAAGAACTCATTTCATAGAGCCACTTAAGTCATTCTTCTTATGAAGGAAAGACTTGACATGATAGCCCTTCTTGTTACAGTAATCACAACTAATAAAAGGATTGGAGAAATGTACAAAAGACTTAAAATAGCTATGATAGAATTTTGCGATCTTCTTTGGCTTCTTTTGAGATGTATCAACTATAGGGTTATACCCAATACCCAATCAATTAGAGATACACCTTTGAGAGCTAATCAAAACATTTAGCATCTTAATACCTCAAGTAAATTTTGCTAAATCCTTTTTAAGATGTCATTTTGATTACTTAATGTAATGCAATTAGCACATGAATTAGGTTTTTCTTTCTCTATGTTCTCCTTGTCAAAGGAGGTTTCTAATTTCTCTTCTAATTATAAAATTTTATTTTTAGCACATAAAAATTGTTTACATTGTTCTTGAAACAAATAAAAGAAGTCATTATATTCAGCTTAAAGCATATCAAAATTTACCTCTTTTGATTGTAGTTCAATCAAATCATCATCATTTTGTTCTTCTGCTACAAGACATAAGTTGGCAATTCCTTCTTCTTCTTCATCTTCAGATGAACTATCTCCCCAAGTTGCAAAGGCCTTCTTTTTATTGGTTTTTCCTTCTTCTTTTCTTTCTCTCGCTTCTTCTGCCACTGAGGACAATCCCACTTGAAATGGTCGGGTTTCTTGCATTCATAACAAATGAGAGGTTCCTTTAAATCTTTCTTTTTGTTACTAGAAGATTCTCTTTTGAAATTTTTCTTCCCTTTGTAGAATTTTTTGTATCACCTTACCATCATAGTGAATTCTTCATCCTCATCAGACTCTTCTACTAATTCTTCTTCTTTTCTAGTAGGTTTTAGAGCAATCCCTTTTATCTTTTTGTTCATATCCTCCTTATATTGTAAGAGAGTAGATTCATGCTCTTATAGAATATTAAGGAGTACAACTACTGAATGCATTGAAACACTTTAGGCTTTAGCGATGGCAGGGATCTTTGGTTACCATTCTATTGGATGACTATTCAATTTTTTTTACTTGTTCTACCTAAGTGTAAGTCTTCTCTAAGTTCATTAGATGATTTATAATATGAGTGAACCTTATCTATATTTCTTTGATTGATTCTCTATCCTTCATTTTGAAGGTTTCATATTCATGAATTAGACAGCTCTTTATATTTTCCTTGACTCCATTTATTCCCTCATGTGCTTGCCTCAAAGCATCCCACATCTTTTTTGCAATTATACAATGAGTATTTTGATAATTCTCAGCACGATTGAGAGCGTAAGCAATTGTAAGTTTTGCTTTAGCATTGAGATTGACAAGCTGCTTGTTTTTATCACTCCATTCATCTTTACTCTTTTCTCTTATGAGTCCATCATCTCTAATAATCATGGGAATGTATGGACCTTTGGTGACAATGTCTAGCATCTCTATATCAAGAGCCTCTAGATACATCATATATAGCTCTTCCAGAAAGGATAGTCTTTTCCTTTGAAGGCCACTAGTCTGGTGGTCGACAATCATTCTCTGAGATTATCATTTGTAAAGTTAGCCATTAGTAGAATCTTTAACTCTAACTATTAAGTCACATATGAGCAACTAGGCTCTAACACCAATTGTAAAGATTGTCCAAGAAAAGGGTGAATTAGGCTAAATAAAATCTTAGCAAATAATGCAAGAATTAAATGAAGTTAAGAACAATATCACTAATCATCACTGAGAGAAGGGAAGCAAAGTTTTACACAAAATGTTTACCCTGGTTCAACTCTAATCACCTAAGTCTACGTCTAGCCCTTAAGATATTCTTGATATTTTTCACTATCTCTACTAAAATTAAGTTGGGCTCTTGGTTGCCATAATACAATTTAGATTCATCTTTGAGTCTATATCTCTCCCCCTTATAAAGGTAATATCAACTTTCCTTAAGCTCCCTAATAAAATTCATTTGTTACACACCTATCTATGTCAATTATTAAGGTTTTATCATCTTAAAGTGCACACACACAACTACAAAAATGGCAATATTCAATGGTTATTTTAGACAATATTCAACAGTTAGTAATTGTTGAGTAATCAAGAGCTAAATATTCTTTGAGCCTTTATTCAATGATTTTTAACTGTTGAATATATGTCTACGAGAATTTTTTCTAACTAGCAGCAAGGTAATGTTAAACAATTTTTGATAGAAACTTTTGCATATTATTAAGATATTCAACGGTTATTGGAAAAAATCATTGAATATATTATAATATTCAACATTTTCTCAATAAACTATTGAATATATTATGAATCATATTCAACAATTTCCAAGCTCAATAGAGGGAAAAGGAATCAAATAACTAGAAAAATACAATATTTAAGAACAAATTGAAAAGCATCAGGTAAAAGTGACAAGGAACATGTCTACTAAGTCAAGACATATATCTTATTATTAATAAAAAAATTAATTTATCTTAATAAACTAAATAATCACAACCTAGCACATATTGAACTGAATATTTAATAATCACAAGCTAACCACATATTGAAAAAAAGTAGTTTATCATAAAAACATCTTTACTAAATTTTATGCAAAACTAAATATTTTAAAAAATTAGTTTATCTTAATGAAGGACATGTTTACTAAATTTTATTCAAGTTTGCCCTACCACATATTGAACCGAATTTAAATAATTAAAAGCTAACTAAATACTCTAATATTTTCTCTTGTCTTTTGTAGAAACAAACTATTCAATCAACAAAATATCACAATTAAATCTTAATATTGCCTAGTAAATTGTCACAAACTCAAACCAATCTAGTCAACTAATATGAATTCTAAGTTCAAAATCAACATTATTAAACTTAGCAGCTTCCTTTACATAATGAGATAGCATATGAGATAGAGAAATACCTTAAAAATCACAAAGTAATAGTGTGAGGCTACTCTTGATAGAAGAGAGGATGAGATAGTGACAACTTCAAGGGCAGATGGTGGACCAGGAGGATTGAGGGCTAGTCAACGGTGAGAGTGAGAATAAATGTATCTCAGCTGCTCTCGGGAAGAGAAATAGGAAGAGGAAGAGGAAGAGCAAGACGAAGAGGAGCTCGTGAGCAAGTGGAAGAGGAAGAGGGTTTAGCCAAAAATAGGTCTTAGAGGATGAGGAAAATAGAGGAAATGGGTAGTAGTTATGACTTATGCTTAGAGGAAATGATTGAAAATGGCTATCTAACTCTCTTTGCTTGAGACTATAATTGATGCTCAGAGGAAATAAGTGTTAGCTAGATATGAGTCTTAGAAGAAATGGGTTTACTCTACTCTTATCTTACTCTCGCGTGCTTCCTATGCTGGCTATGCGTTTGCTCGCTAATAGAGTGTTAAACAATTGAATTTATTTAATGGTTAGTAAATCTAACCATTGAATATATTATACCTAACAGTTATAGTGAAATAATCGTTGAGTATCTTATATCTTATAAAGCCCATGTACTTTTTTTGTTATATTGTTCGTATACAGTGTTTTTCCCTTAATAGCCCTGCCTGATATGGGTCATCTATAGCTTTTTCCCTTAAATGCCCTTGCTAATGTAGATCCCATTATTTCTTTATCTGTTATATTTTTGCAGAAAAATATTGTCTCTTCCTCACTCTTACCTTCCAGACCTTTCTAACCTCAAAAAAAATTATCATCCTTTGACCCTCTCTCCCTCAGTGCCCAATGCTGGTGAAACTTCTTGTGTTATCATCGCTTCATCTCTCCATCTTCATTCCCAGATAAAGTCATGGATATGAAAGCATGAGCAAGAGATTTGGCACCTCAAAAGCCTATTCTGAGACTGAGTTTGAGACTGCCGCTCGAGTTTCGTCAGTGAGTCATACCGATGAGCCCTTACCCTAACCTTTTGGTGGATCCAATTAATCATCAATGGCTTTTTGTGAAGGTTCTAGGACATTCAAATGCTTTAGCTTTATCTTCTTCTATTATTAACTAATTGCTAAACTATTATTTTGCTCTTTTCTTCTTCTATTCAGAAATGTTAATGCCAGAATAGTATACTCCAAGTTACCAAGCCATCGTACTCTATTCAACTCCCTCTTTTCTTCATTCTCATTGATAAATTCCAGTGAGTAAGGGTGCTTCTGGTGACTCCAGATCTACTCCGAGAATGAGAAGAGGTTTTGGTTAATCTAGTTGCTATGGATGCCATTATAGGTCGAGTTGCCATTATTATCCAAGACAAAGAGCAAGAGCTTTAGTTGCCTTAAATTCTTATTTCAATTCATCTTCTAATGAAACATCCACTACAGTATTGTCAATTTTTCACATATTAGTATTAAACATAGGAGTTGTTCAAATACATTCATAAGAATAAATTTTATTTAGTTTTTCGTTTGAGTGGGTAAACTAACATTTCTCTTAAACCCACATTAGAGTTCAACTCCTTGATCTGCAAGAAAAATGAAAGGAAAAAAATCACTAGGCTATTAGTGTGAGGCATTTTTTAAGTGCTCATTTTTTCCAGAAAATGAGCACAATCAAGACCACTTAATTTTAAAGCAAAAGGGGGCAATCTACCTTTTTTTATTTCTGGAAAGTAAAAATGGTGAGGAAGATGTTCAAATAATGACTTTATGTTGAAAATGAGAATTTAAAGGGACGTTGCTCAAACAATAATTTTTACATTTTGTTTACTCAATAGCAACTCAATAACATGTTATGTTTAATCAAAACATGTATTGGATTAAAAGAGCCTCACGAAGAAGGAAGATGGCTGATAGTGACAATCAGATAGATAATAACCATATGGTTAGAAACAATTAGTAAAAATCAATATAGGCAAAGGTGATGCTATAATAAATCAAATTAGGCAAGATTCTTAGGCAACAATTAAAGTTGCCCAAGAAGGAGATGATTGCTTAATAATTATTTCAACAAAGGAGGTGAATTGTTGTATATTGGTTGTGTAGTGGAATTGTTTTTAATTGTTGTGGGCATATGGATTATAGGTTTCGGGTTTTTGCTTTGGATGCAAGATTCACCTAAATTGTGCTCATGCAGTTCTTTAAAGATACTTTTTCTCCAAACATTGAAGCAATGTACATTTACCGCCCTGGTGTAATGAGAAAGTTGAAAGAGATTTAGGAATTATCTCATTCACAACTCAACTATTGTAACCTCATGAATTGGCTGCCTTTTTGGTAAAGGAGGAGCTATCATAACCAAAATGAAGAGGCTGATAAAAGCAAACATCTGCATCTTGTGAAAGGAAAATCTTCCCAAAATAGCATTCGAAGATGATGAAATGGTTCAAGTAAGGTTATTATAATTGTTTCTTTATTTATTGTTGCTAAATTTCTTTGTCATTTATGGTTTTTTTTTGTCACACCCTAGTATTTAAGGTGTGACTAGCATAGAATATGAGACAGACTCACATTCCATAAGCCTTACATAACTAGAAAATCAATTCAAAATAATAATATAATTTACATTTAAATTTTAAAATTTATAAAATTTTAACTATTTTGTAAAAATTTTGACAAAATTTCCCCTGTAGTTAGAACCTTCCTAAAATTTCTACAATATAAAAACCTGTCAGCCAAACTAAAAAGGAAAATTTAACTCCACATCAGTAAATTTCACAATAATAAAATAAGACTAGAATCTAACTACGATATACGTGGAGCATGGAACTATAATTGTATAATATAATGCATATTTACATCAAACTAAATATCAAAATGTGCTTCCAATAACCAAAAGTAATAATGCACCTCAATGATTAGTAGAAGGTGCAGGATTAGCTACCTTTAAGACCAAAGAAATTTCTGGTAAGTAGCGTTCCAATCAAAATGATAATTAAAAAATTATAAAGATAGTAACTAATAAATTTAATTCAAAACAACTTCATGAAATAATGAAACATATACTTAAGGTAACAATAGACAACAAGTTTTTCTCAATAATATAACTATGAAATTAAACAATGCTATAATAATAACATAAATGTTTAAAAATTTGTACAGCTCATAAAATATATATAAAAAATTTTAATAGTAATGCAATTTGATAAAATACTTTTAGAGAATTAATAGAGAAATAAAAATTTAAATTTAAATTTAAATTTAGGAGGACTTTATAAAAATGAATAACAAGTGTGAACACACAGTCCACAAGGCTAAATAACTAATCAAGCATGGACGCACAGTCTACGAGGATAAATAGCCAGTCAAGCGTGGCTAAAAGCCATGAGCCACGAATCAAGTGCAGGCATGAAGCCCACAAAAAACAAGCATGAGTGTAATGATCACGAATAACTGCCTCTCCGTTCCACGTGCATTGGCTATCGCATGGGGCTAGCACTTCCTATGAGCACCCTACTATTTAAGTATACCATGGCGTGCCAAGGGCTAACAAAACTGTCGTTAGCATTCAATGTTTTAAACTCAGCCCTCCTCATAAAAATCAAGTGTATGGAGAAAGAAAAATTGTTTCAAAATTCTTACTTTCAAATATTAATCCCCTATCATTTTCCATTACCCAAAA